GGGGGGGGGGGGGGGGGGGGGGGGGGGGGGGGGGGGGGCGGTGAAGGCAACTGGGGTTCCGGTTAGGACGTCGTCCCGGCGGGCAAGGAAGATAACGGTCGGAGGGGGCCCAGCTGTTAGAGACCCGAGGGGTTTCCAACCCGGATCCCAGCGGGCCCCCGGGGGTGGGGGCGGGGGGAATTCAAGGACAGGAGGACTCCGGGGGCGGGAACCGAGAGGGAGGCGGTGAAGACTCGAGACCAGCGGCGTCTCCCGCGGCGCTGTGACCTCGGGCCACGCTCCGCACCACCCACCCCGCCACTGGCCAGACCGCGACCCCGGCCCGGGAGACGCAGGGCCGCCCAGGGCTCCGCACGCGCTGCACGCCCAGCCGGCGACGAAGACGCGCGCTGGGCAGCGGCACAGTCACCGCGGGACCGGGCAGAGCCGGGACCAGGGCGACGCGGAACGGGGGGGAGTGCGGCGGGGACGCCGACTTACCCGGCCGTTGCGGTCGGTCTCCTGCACCTCCTCGGCGCTCGGCCCCCGCCGCACCAGCGCCCTCAGCAGCCCCACGTCGTTGGCGCAGGCGGCGCGCAGGAGGGTCGCCTCCTCCGGGACGCCCTCTGGGACGCTCTCCGCATTCGCGGTGCCGTATTCCTCCTCGCCTCCGACAGGGTAGAAGGAGTCATCCGAGGCGATGCTGCGGGTGTCGGGCAGACACGAGAAGTCCTCGTACTCCTCGTAGTCGGCAGGGTCCTCCCCGGCCTGAGCGTCCCGGGGTGGGGACGGCGTCTGCGGGGACACGCGGCGCGCCCCGCCGCCCTCCGGCCCGGGCCCGGCCAGCAACACCATGCTGGCGGCCGGGGCGCGGGCCGGGAGACTGGGGCGCGGGGCGTGCGCCGGGGTCACCGCCCCTCGTCCCCTGCGGCCGCAGACCAGCGGGGCTCCGCGCGCTCCAGCCCGGCGGAAACGAGCGCCGAGCGGCTGCGCTCGAAGACTAAAGTCACTGGAGGCTGGAGAAAGCCCCCTCGGGGGTGGGAGGAGCCGCTGGGGCTTTCCGGGCGCGGCGGGCGGGCGCGGGCGGGGACCGGGCGGGGAGGAGGGCGGGGCCGCCGCACTGGAGGAGGCGCGCGCGCCCCGGGTTCCCCCGCCCGGAGCCCGACAAAAGTTCCGAGCCGAGTCCTCGGCGCCGCGGGGCCCGCGCACCCGGCCGCCCTGCCCCGGAGCGGAGCGGTGCCCGCGCCGAGAACTAGAAGCAGTAACCGGAGAACCCGGGCGCCAGTGTCTCCGGCGGCGAGCGGCCCCGCCCTCCCCTTCGGCGGCCCCGGGGATGAGGGCGAGGGTGGGGGTCGGGGGACGCCGCGAGCTGAGCCTGCTGCTCCCCGCGTGGGGAGCCGCCAAACCCCCGGGCCCGGCACGCCCCGGCGTCAGGCCTCCCGGCCGCGACTGCCAGAATTTCTCGGCACCCGAGCCGCCGAGCTCGTTTTTCCACCTCCCCGGGATACTGGGCTCCGACGCCAACTCCACTCCGAGCTTAAGACCGAGGAGTCGCGGGGAGCAGGGGGCAGGCACGGAGGTCAACTGGGTGCCGAGGAGGCGGAGTCCACCGAGGGGCCCGGGGCTCCGCCGAGGGCCGTGACCCTCTGAACTGGGAGCTTCCGGAGGGGACGGTCCTCAGGGTCCCCCGATCCCGCGGAGCTCGGGCCAACTGTGGCTCGCAGGTTGCTCCTGAGAGAGCCCCCAAGGTGGTGTCTCGAGGGGCTCAGGTGGGGACGTTGGGTGAAAATGGAAGGCTCCAGGCCAGAGCCTGAGGGGAGCCCTCCTCCCCCACTCCTAGCCAATGTCACGGTGCGGGCATCTGCGGAGTCAAGACAGAGAACCGCGTGAGGCCGCGACCGGGCTTTGACTCGGGGCCGGCTGCCAAACGCCGAGCCGGGCCGCGGGAGACTGCCGCGGTCCAGTCCCAGCGCCCCGCCGCCGGGGCCTGGCCTCTCCCGGCTTGTCCCGCTGTTGGGGGTGACTTGCCGCGGGGACCCGCTGACCGCGCGGAAGAGAGCGTGCGACGGGCCACATCCCCGTGGCAATGGCTGCGCGTGGAGGATGCGGATACCTCGCGGGTCACAGCCACCCCTCTCTCTGCCCCTCTCCCTCCTGACCCTTTCCACCGCTGGTGACAGCGTGCCCACCATGGGCCAGCCGGCGCAAGGCTCCCGGGGCCCAAGGGTGGACGCAACCGGACAGAGGAAGCCATCGGGGGCTAGCTTGAGGATCCCTGGCCTGGGAGGGCAAGCTGCGGGTCTCAGTGGGGAACACGGTCAAAACTAAGGAATAACACGGAGGACATTGGGAGAAGAGAGTTGGAGGAAATCGGAGGAGGAGAGAACCATGAGAGACTGCGGACTCAGAAACAAACTGAGGGTTTTGTGGGGGTAGAGGGTTGGGTGAGCCGGGTGGTGGGTATTAAGGAGGGTGCGGATTGCATGGAGCACTGGGTGGGGTGCATAAACAATGTATCTTGGAACACTGAAAAAATAAGGTTCAAAGAGGGGCGCCTGGGTCGCTCAGTGGTTGGGTCTCTGCCTTTGGCTTGGGTCTTGATCCCCGGTGCGGGGATGAGACCCCCATCTGGCTCCCTGCTCAGCGGGAGGCCGGCTTCTCCCTCTCCCACTCCCACTCCCCCTGCTTGTGTTCCCTCTCTCATTGTCTCTGTCAAATAAATAAATAAAATCCTTAAAAGTAAAATAAAATAAAGTTCAAAGAAAAAAACTACTCTGGCAGGTGGCGGGGGGCTGGGGAACAGGGTTGACCTGTGAGGCCTTGTAAGCCCCTGGTGTTACGCTGCACTGGGGGAGACCCTCCGCGGCGGTGACCCCAGCTGGTGTGCTCCCTTCGCCGGCCCATCTAGAATTTAGCGGGGTCAGAACCCGGCTTCCGAGGGGATCAGGAGGGTGGGAAGCAGGAGGGCCGCGATTTCCAGTAAAGTCACAACCATGCACTGAGCGAGCGGTGACCACGGGCGCACTGGCTTCCTTCTGTACTGGGGCTTTCTTTCTGAAGCCCAAAATACCCAAATCAAGATCTGCCTCTTTTTCGGTAGCCGGCCAAATTTACATAAATTCCCACTGGGAATTTCCACCTTTCAAGGTTGACGGTGGTTTTAGCCTTTTCCAAAGGCCTGTTGCTTGAGGTCGGGGGATTTACAAGTTCAAGTGCTCCCCCGGAGGGCTGGGCTGGGTTTGCCACCCTCTCCTCCCAACCACGTACTGAGCGGGTCTGCGCGGGGTAGTAATTAAAGATCCCTAGCGGGGAGGGGCTGGTCTTTGCGGGGCTCCAGCCCTAGACCCAAGCAACACGCACCTTCTTCTGGAGTCCAGCTGCCCCGTGGTCCTCATTACTCAATCACGAAGCACCCGAACGCAGGCCCTATCTTCCAAGTTCACCACTTCCTCCTTGTCTTTCTTAGAAATTTGGATCCAAATAGCACTGGAATGGGGTTTCCCCTCCAAAGAGAAATTTCTGGAGCCCTTTGCTCCAGATAAGGACTAGCTGATCATTTGTGAGTGACCAGCCCCCAAGCCCGAGCAGTTCATTTTCCCCTTTTATCACAAAGACAATAGGTTCTCAGTGTTGCTAAAAGAACACAAAATGAGGCACATGTATGTTTAACAAGGTCAACACTTATGTGTACAAAATCTGCAGAGAAAGGCCAAAGTAGCTTACCAAAACTGCCGACACACTCAGGATAACTTTAAATCTCAAGAAATTGCATTGTCTCGAAGACATCAGTTTCAATGAACTTTTTTTTTTTTAAGATTTTATTGGTTTATTTGACAAAGAGAGAGAGATCACAAGTAGGCAGAGAGGCAGGCAGAGACAGAGAGGGGGAAGCAGGCTCCCTACTGAGCAGAGAGCCCCATGCGTGGCTCAATCCCAGGACCCTGGGATCGTGACCTGAGCTGAAGGCAGAGGCTTAACCCACTGAGCCACCCAGGCGCCCTCAATGAACTATTTTAATTTATGAGGGTTTTATCATTTATTTAAGTTTTATGTATATTGCAATTATACAATTTGCCAATTTAGTTGGATAATTTGTCTTTGGACCATTAAAAAAAAATACACTTCAGTTCTATTTCTGGAACAGGCCACCTAACCGTAACACAACAGGAAAGTCTTTCAAAATTACAGTGTGTTTAGAACTGAATGCACCTGTAGGAACATCGCACCCCCACCTTCATTTGGAAGGCGGAGGATGGAGGATGGAGTAAATCCAAGTCGGCTCCAGGGTTCATAACCAGGGCTGGAGGGAGGATGCAATGAGGGCGTGGTTTTAAACCGCTGCAGCCCATCTAGAATTTAGCACACAATAAGTATCAACTTACCCTTTATTTAAAAACTGTTCTGAAGGACTGGTTCTGCAAATATGTTGCAGTTTGCAGAGAGAATTAGCCCATGTGAGGTGAATGAGAAATGCTTTTTATTTTTTCCATAGGAAAGGCAGTGTGACTTGGGTTGAAGAGCGGATTGGGGTATCAGACCCGGCTTCTTCTAATGATTCTACCACTGTTAAATCGCAACCCGGTGGCTCTGAATTTTATTTATTTGACAGAGAGAGATTCAGCGAGAGAGGCAACACGAGCAGGGGGAGTGGGAGAGGGAGAAACAGGCTTCTCGCCGAATGTAGGGCTTGAACCCAGGATCCTGGGATCCTGACCTGAGCTGAAGGCAGATGCTTAACGACCAAGCCACCCCAGAGCCCCAAATCGCTCTAGATTTTGAATGTCTGTTACTAAGGGTATAGTCAGGTATACTGTGGGTATATAACCTTAATTCAGAAAATAAAATAAAAACATGCCCAAAAAAGCCAAATGGGAGAAAAACAAAACAATTGTGCTGCCTGTTACAAACAATTCACACCAGAATCTAGTGAATTTGCTTACAAATCAAGAAGAAAAAGCAGCACCTTAACCGATTTTGTTACCCTGGGTGGATAGCAATAAAACTCATTAAGGTGAAAATGGCTGTTTGCTAGCCTTTTAGAAGACTGCATCACAGCCTGGCCTGGGGCTTGCTTTCTTGGGGTCGGGACTGAGTGATGGGCTCCGTCAAAAGTAAATTAAGCAGGACCCTGGGTGGCTCAGTGGGTTGAGCCTCTGCCTTCAGCTCAGGTCATGATCTCAGGGTCCTGGTATGGAGCCCCCCATAAGGCTCTCTGCTCAGCAGGGAGCCTGCCTACCCCCCTCTCTCTGCCTGACTCTCTGCCTACTCGTGATCTCTGTCTGTCAAATAAAATCTTTAAACAAAAAAAAAAAAGGAAATTAAGGTCAGCCCCTGTGGTTGGTGTCAAAGGAAGAAAATGGGGTATCGGGATGGGTTTGGGGTCCCTTGGCTAGGCTTCACAAAGGCTGAGAAGCTCCACTGTCTGGCTCCCACTTCCCCCCCAAAATTCAACTCCAAGGCCAGGGTCTGCCTTTGATGTTCACAGGGAACTCCTGCACCCCCACTACCTGGGAGAGAAGCAGAAGCCAGTGGAAATGGGACACCTTTCAGTCTCTCGTTTTTGAAAAAAACAGTTTCAGCAAACCAAAATTATTTGATGTGGAGTTTTTGCAAACTTCCCTGGGTTGATTACAATGCGTGGAAGCAGCCTACAGTATCCCGAAGTCAGTCCGTCTATAGAATGACGAGACCAGCTTACCCTTCTGATCTGCTTAGAAATATAAAGAAAAGTCTCTGTGTTTATTTCTGGATCTCCTTATTAAAGAGATTAGCGGCTGTCCGGCCCTCACACAGGATCCCCGGTCCCGAGAGCTGAGCGGATCTAACCATTTTACAACTTCCTTTGCTATCTTTAGGGAGCATTTCTGCCTTTGTGGTTAAATATTTGGAGGAAGTATATGGCATGTGTGTACCTATTGCCAATTCTCCCTTTTTCTTGCTCTTGGCGGGAATTAGCAATAACAGGGTACAGTTAAGGAAGGCC